CTCTATGACTCCTTCTGGCCCGCTGCCAACGTTTGCACCTGCTCTGATAACCACTTGTCTCCCTCTTGTCCCCCTCCCATTCTCACACAGACTAACCTTGAACTCACTGCTCTTTGAGATTTACACAAACAAGTGCTAATTTGGCAACAGAAACAATACTAAACTGATTTTAATTTTAACTGGTCCAGGAGTTCAATATTCCAACAATAGACACATTGTGCTTTGAATAAACCACGGATTTTTTTCTCGGGATGAGCACCTCCGACAGCCGGCCCAATGTGGCTGTCAGAGGGGGGCAGGGTCAGGGAGGGGGTGAGTCGGAAACACAATGAGGAGTGGAGGGGAGGGAGGGAGCAAGATGGATAGGTAGAGGGAGGCGGGGGAGGGATCCGAGCTGGAGACTGAAGACTGAATAGTGTGAGTTGTTGTAGATAGTCCGGACTTGTTATTATGGCCTTGGCCGAGGAATGTGAGATAAGAGTGGAGAGAAGACACAGCTGGAGAAAAACACATCGCCTGAGAGGGACAATATTATATGCAATGTCGCAGTCAAAAACAGGCAGATATTCTATTAAATCCAATTAATCCGAATTGCGGCGCCCTCAGACCTCCGTACACAGGGGCAAATCCAAGCCGGGTCAGAGAGTTCAAGCCTGACAAACAATGTCATTCAATCTCAATTCCAGAGTTTTGTTCCCTTCGAGTGAACTAGCTGCAAGATCTTTTATCAACTGTTCCACCAACACCACTCTCCGTTGTCCAGCCACGGCACTCTCAACCACGACTCGGTTAAGCTCCTTGTACATCCCATCAATTTTGTCGGCCAGCAGGACGTGAATCTTGCGAACTGCCATGCCTCCGAATTTGTGGTAGAAGAGAACCGCTCCAAACCCAAACAGGAGGATTCCCACCACCAAAATGCCAAAGATATATACGTCTTCCGAATCTTCAATAGACAGGACCGACAGACATAGGGGCTGAAACTTGTTCCAGCTGTCAAGCGTATACCCCGCTGGTGAAGTCCCGTCCGGGCACACGGGCTCTCCAGACCCACGCTTACGTGTTGAAAAGATAGAATCAATTGCGTTGAGGGACCAATTAATCATTTCCATTCTTGCTTAAAGTTGTCTGTGGCAAAACTCCAGGAAAAAGACAAAAACAGGAGATAGCAAGCAGTCAGAAGCAGGAGCGTCTGAGACACGTCTTTGCTCGACGGAGGCGGAAGTAGGAAGCTCGAGGGTTCATGGGAGTTCACCCAACCTGTCCACATGTGCTTTGTGGATTTGGAGAAGGCGTTCGACCGTGTTCCCCGGGGTGTCCTTTGGGGGGTCCTCCGGGAGTACGGGGTCCGGGGTCCTCTGCTGAGGGTCGTCCGGTCCCTGTATGACCGGAGCCAGAGCTGTGTTCGCATTGCCGGCAGTAAGTCAGACCTGTTCCCGGTGCATGTTGGCCTCTGCCAAGGCTGCCCTTTGTCACCGGTTCTGTTCACTGTATTTATGGACAGAATTTCTAGGCGCAGCCAGGGGCCGGAGGGGGTCCGGTTCGGGAACCACAGGATTTCATCTCTACTTTTTGCGGATGATGTCGTCCTGCTGGCTCCAACGAACCAGGACCTGCAGCATGCACTGGGACGGTTTGCAGCCGAGTGTGAAGCGGCTGGGATGAGAATCAGCACCTCCAAATCCGAGGCCATGGTGCTCGACCGGAAAAAGGTGCCTTGCCCTCTACAGGTGGGTGGAGAGGTCCTTCCTCAAGTGGAGTTCAAGTATCTCGGGGTCTTGTTCACGAGTGAGGGAAGGATGGAGCGTGAGATTGACAGGCGGATCGGTGCGGCGTGCGCAGTGATGCGGTCTCTGTATCGGACCGTTTTGGTAAAGATTTACCGGTCAATCTTCGTTCCCTCCCTCACCTATGGTCATGAGCTGTGGGTAATGACCGAAAGAACGAGATCGCGGATACAAGCGGTCAAAATGAGCTTCCTCCGCAGAGTGGCTGGGCGCTCCCTTAGAGATAGGGTGAGGAGCTCGGTCACACGGGAGGAGCTCGGAGTAGAGCCGCTGCTTCTCCACGTCGAGAGGAACCAGTTGAGGTGGCTCGGGCATCTGTTCAGGATGCCTCCTGGACGCCTCCCTGGGGAGGTGTTCCGGGCACGTCCCACCGGGAGGAGGCCCCGGGGAAGACCCAGGACACGCTGGAGAGACTATGTCTCTCAGCTGGGACTATGTCCCCGGAAGACCTGGAGGAAGTGTGTGTGGATAGGGAAGTCTGGGCGTCTCTGCTTAGACTGCTGCCCCCCCGACCCGGAAACGGATAAAGCGGAAGAAAATGGATGGATGGATGGATGGATTACACATGCGGATGATGTGTTTGCGAGTAGTGCCATTTCGGGAAAGTTTGAGAAATAGTCAATGACTACAAGATAGTGCTTGCCCTTTAAGTGAAACCAGTCCATTCCTACTTTGTGCCATGATGTAGGCTGCTTAGGTATCATAATTGGTTCTTTACACTGTTTACTCTGATGTTTCTGGCATGTTTCACATCTGCTCATAATTTTCTCAATATCTTTGTTTAGTCCAGGCCAGTACAGACTCTCTCGCTCTCCTTTTACATTTTTCAATACCGAGATGTCCTTCGTGTATCCTGTTTAACACATCTGATCTCAAAGCTTGTGGGATAACTATTCTTCCTTCTTTCAACAATAGTCCATCTACAAAGCTAAGATTTTCTCTGAAATGGTAAAAGTGAGGACATGATCCTGCTGGCCATCACGCATCCATGTTCTGAATGACACGCGCTAGCTCTGTATCCACTAACGTTGCTTTAGCTATTTGTTGTGATTTTGGTTCCGTCACGGGCAACACACTCGATATAAACTTTACATGGCTTTCAACATCTTAATCTGTGCTACTCTCAGTGTTCTACTGGCGCTCTGGACAATGCATCTGCAAGCACCAAATGCTTTCCAGGCGTGTAGATTAGCTCAAAGTCATATCTTTGCATTTTCATCATCAAGCGCTGAATCCGTGGCGTCATCTCGTTCAGATTCTTTTTAATTATTGAGACCAGAGGACGGTGATCGGTTTCCACTGTAAAAGACGAGAGTCCATAAATGTAAGCATGGAACCGCTCCAGTCCAAAAGCCAGACCCAAACACTCTTTTTCAATCTGAGCGTATCTGCACTCTGCTTTTGTCATGGCTCGCGACGCATAAGCCACTGGTTTCCAGTGTCCTTCCTCATCTTGCAAAAGTACTGCTCCAATACCATCTTTGGATGCGTCTGTAGATACTTTCAGCTTTTTGGTATGGTCATAGTAGGCTAAGACTGGAGCTGTGGTAAGTGTCTCCTTTAACCTTTTTAACTCCAGCTCATGTTTGGTTGACCATTCAAAGTCACAGTCTTTGTGCAAAAGTTCTCAAATGCAGGACGTCTTCGCTGTGAGGTTGGGAATAAACTTGCCTATGAAATTGACCATTCCCATAATGCGCAAAACTCCTGTCTTATCAGTTGGTCTTGGCATGTTCAGGATTGCTGTTATCTTGTTCTGGTCAGGTTGTACACCTTTTACTGTGAGTTTATCTCCAAGGAAAACAATTTCCTGCACTGCAAACTCACACTTGGCTCGGTTTAGCTTGAGGCCAAACTGTTAAATACGCTCCATCACTTTGTTCAATCTTTGATTATGCTCCTGGAGAGACTAACCCCATATTATAATGTCATCTATGTAGACTCGGACTCCGTTTAAGCCTTCAAGGATTTGTTCCATAGCTCTGTGGAATATTTCTGGAGCTGACTTTATTCCAAATGGAAGTCTCAGAAAACAATACCTCCCAAAGGGTGTATTAAACGTACAGTACTTTGTGCTGTCCTCAACTGCCAAAAGCCTTGATGCATCAAGTTTAGTAAAATAGCTTGCTCCTGCCATTTCACTGATTATTTCCTCATGTGTTGGTATTTGATAATACTCTCGCTTTATGTTCTCATTTAAGTCTTTTGGATCCATGCATGTTCTCAATTCTCCATTCTTTTTCTTTGTGACTACCATTGAGTTGACCCAATCTGTAGGTTCCTGAACCTTTTTAATCACTCCTAAATTGGTCATTCTGTCTAGTTCTTGCAGTGGGGCGGGCACCCTGCGAGGTGCATGTACAACTGGCTGTGCTCCTTCTTTTAGCTGTATTTTATATGTAAAAGGCAGTGTACCAAACCCTTTGAACACATCTGAATACTGCTTTACTATTTGGTCTGTTTCAGATTTGGAACTTTTATCAATGCAGTACTCTCTTTACCAGCCCTAACTGTTCACATGATTTATCTCCTAACAGTGATTCACATTTTTCATTAACCACTGAAAATATCACATTGTGTACTTTACCTTTTACAGTTACATTCAGTTTACAAGAGCCGAAACACTCTATTGCTTTACCATTGTAGTCTTTCAGAGCTGCTTTCTTCACAAACAAATGTGGTTTTATCTGCATTTCTCTAATATCAGACATACTAATCAGATTAGCTTTTGCACCAGTGTCCAGTCTCATTGTTATTATAGCCCCATTTATTTGCAACACTGTTCACATTTGTCTGTTCATTTTCAATATTTGACGATGTGTCAGCATCGTCCACCACGTTTACATTCTTGCCCTTTTTTCCCTCTTTCTTTTTGGAGAAACATTGCTTGTATGAACAATAGAAGGCCATGGCCTATATAGTAGTACCAAAAACAAGATAAAATAGAAGTACAAGACACACAATGTTCTTTGATTGTATATCTGCTACGATTGTGTATCCGTTGTTTTAGCTGACTGACGCCTGGGTTTGGCTCTTTCATGATGACGCAAATTCCAATATATAATGTTTCCCTGTTTATTGTTCTGCCTGAATCTACCACCTGTTGTGAATAAACTTCCAGGTTGCTCTGGTGTGCAAAGATCCCTGCCTAAGCGTCTGATTTTCGACACTTGGCAAAATGATTCTTCCTGTGGCAGTAAGAGCACACTTTACCAAAAGCTGGACATTGCCTTGGCTTGTGTTGAGTCGCGCAGCGCTTGCAGAAGAACGTGTCGTCCTCGGTCCGCTGTGCTGTGCGCTGCTGGCGGCGTCCTCTCGATACTGCACCGACCACCGCTCCGTCACTCACAGGTGCTACGGTGGGCATCTCACCGAAGGATTTGATATGCTTTTGTGACAGCTCACTTGCTTGGCAAATCTTAATGGCAGCCTCGACTGTCAAATCCGTCTTGCGAAGAAGTCTTTCTCTTAGCTTCTTGTCTTCAACGCCAAAAACGATTTGATCCCTCACGAGTGAATCTTTCAATGGCCCAAAACCACACGACTGCGCCTTTAGCCGTAGTGCGGTCAGAAAACTGTCAAAAGGCTCATTATGACACTGCACTCGAGACCTAAACATATATCATTCATATGTTGTTTTACAGTGAGCTTCAAACTTAGCGAGCACTACATCCAGCTTTTCATTGTCTCCCTGTGCATCAAACACAAACGTTATTGTACACTTCAATGGCGTGCGGCCCTGCTAATGTTGGCAAAAGCGCTACACTCCTTGTGTCAGGCTTGGTTTCCAGTCCCATCGCGGTGACAAAGAGGCTAAACTGCTGCTTGAAGCTTCGCCAATTTTCGTCCACATTTCCCGTCAACTTCAAGTTTTCTGGCGGTTTCAAATCCATGTCGACTTCTCCGGCGGCTTCTCAGCTACTTAGTTTACTCCTGGTACCATGTTGTGTTCGTGTTTTAATAATCCAAACGAGTTGTTCAGGGAGCTACAGTACTTGTTCATCTCGAGGTCATTACAGCACTGTCTCTATACAAGTTATCGTCATGCATATCAACAACGCCACCTAGTGGTAACCTCCAGTAATCTACTGATCATAACCGTTAATATAATAGATCCATGATCATAACACTATATTTACGCACACACTGCTTCCTGTTTGTCAGGAAGTCAGTGATCCACCTGCAAGTGAAATCGGGCATGTTGAGCTGGGAGAGCCTGTCCTGGAGCAGGAATGGCAGGAGGGTGTTGAAGGCGAGTCCAGATGCTGCAGGATGAAGTGGAGGGCCAGGTTTATGGCGTCGTCTACAGATCTGTGTGCTCTGTTGGTGAACTGCAGGGGATCCAGGAGGGAGGAGGTGAAGGACTGAAATGGGGGAGGACCAGGCGCTTCATGACTACAGGGTCTGTAGTCCAGTGATTCGGGTCTTCTTGGATCCGAATCAGACGGGGACGTGGCAAGACTCCAGCCAGGTGTTAAAAATGTCAGAAAAAACTGGAGTGAGCACGTTTGCACAATGTCTCAAGGTGGCAGGTGGGAAACAGTCAGGACTCGGGGCCTTTCGTGGATGTGGAGCCTGTAGTCAGTGAAGATTCCAACACAATATTACGGTGATTTTTAAACCTCAGCTTCCAAATCATCACATTACTACAACCAGGATCACAGAGAGAGTTTGACACAAGCTGTTACTGAGCTAGGGATTTACCTTTACATATTACTCAATAAGAGACAAAGTTCACCATTAGCACCACCCTAATGGGCTTTATTCAGCTAGCGGGTTAGCATTGTCCAACTGTATATTGATATGTAGATATCTTAGCACTCTCCTCTTCCTTCTCTATCAGTCATCATGATGACTCACTTCAGTTGTAGTCTGTTTATTGCTATTAATCACCGTCCCATTATCCGTTTCATGGTTGAAAATTTGTTTCTGGGTATTGTTAGTATTAGATAGCAATATGGCCTACGTGCAGGACTGTACAAGGACTCTGATGATGACTCCATGTTTTGACTATGATTTGACTGTCTCTTTGTGACACGTACGTCTTTCGATGTGTGACGTGACAATGACTATATAAACTGTGTACTGCCTTTATTCTGTCTGAGAGAAAGAAATGCATAGATAATTAAGCACACAGTACAAAAGTACATAATACATATTTTAAAGTTTAAAACGTTTTTTGAGATTTGAGTCTTGTTTTTTATTAAGAGAGTTTCTGGTCCTAAAAATGTCATCATTAGTAAGATAATAAGTAATCTTTATTTATATAGCGCATGTTGGAAAGCCAGGCCAAGGGATAGAGAGAGGTGTCTGGAGACGTGATGGGAGAGCATCAGGGAGAGGCCTGGAGGGGAGTTGAGAGTGTTTCCAGTTGTTTTACATCACCACAGTGTGACCTTTGAGACCTACAGGTGGTTCGAGGAGTCTGGACACACAACCCCAAAATCCACACCCTACATACACACACACACACACACACACACACATTCACATTTACATATAGATGCATGAAAAAGCAGAACATGAGAAAAAAGAATTTTAAAAGTTTACTCCAATGTAAACAAATATTTTTAATTGTCTATCTATTAGTATTAGATAGCAATATGGCCTACGTGCAGGACTCTACAAGGACTCCATGTTATGACTATGATGTGACTGTCTCTTTGTGACACGTATGTCTTTCGATGTGTGACGTGACAATGACTATATAAACTGTGTACTGCCTTTATTCTGTCTGAGGGAAAGAAACAGAGTAAACCAGTGGAACTTGAGAGAAACTTAAATAAACTTCCAGAGTTTGGCGCACCACGATCCGTCTCTGTCTGCTGAATCCTAACAGATTTGGTGGAGAATGTGCGGCTCAGTGTGTGCCATTCTCTGGATTGTTTTGAGGGAGTTTGCTCTGTTTCTTTTCCTCGGCGTGAGAGATCGGCATGCTGTGTCTGGGAGCGGAGATTCCAGCAGACTGGAAGAGCTGTTCCTGGATGCTTCTTGTCGCTTCTGTCACTTTTGTTTTTTAAATTGAATATTCCGACGCGGAAAAGATGTTGGCAGACCTCTCGGACAGTCCTTGGTACCTGTTTGACAAGAATAAGGTAAGCAGACACCTTTTTATATGTAAAGTCTGTATAATTGGATACTAGCTAAATTTTGGTCTGTTTTTGGGGTCTGTCAAACTCTCTAAATTGTATTTGAGAAGAAGTCTCGGGGTTAGAGTCCCTTTGAGAAGAAGTCTCGGGGTTAGAGTCCCTTTGAGAAAAAGTCTCGGGGTTAGAGTCCCTTTGAGAAGAAGTCTCAGGGTTAGAGTCCCTTTGAGAAGAAGCTTCAGGGTTAGAGTCCCTTTGAGAAGAAGTCTCGGGGTTAGAGTCCCTTTGAGAAAAAGTCTCGGGGTTAGAGTCCCTTTGAGAAGAAGTCTCGGGGTTAGAGTCCCTTTGAGAAGAAGTCTCGGGGTTAGCGTCCCTTTGAGAAAAAGTCTCGGGGTTAGAGTCCCTTTGAGAAGAAGTCTTGGGGTTAGAGTCCCTTTGAGAAGAAGCTTCAGGGTTAGAGTCCCTTTGAGAAAACGTTTTCAGGGTTAGAGTCCCTTTGAGAAAAGATAGAGAAGGATCCAAAGTGAAACCATGGTGTAAAATTAAAAGTAATTATAAAAAGGGAAACGTGTTAAGGAGGCCTTTGTTACAAAAGCTTTGAAATTGACGAATTTCAGGCTGATAAATGACAAAAGTAAAGAAGCAACAATATTTCAGTGATCACGGTTTAAATTACATACAGAAAAAGGGAGTTTTTTGTTTTTTAGTTCGTTTGTTTTTGGCGTGAACAGAGTTCACCGGAGAATGCAGAGTTTTATCTAAAGTTGAGCTATGAGAGCTTTCGTGAGTTATTTACATTTTTTGCAGAGTTTTATCTACAGTTAAGCTATGAGAGGGCTGTATCCAACAGTTGTTTTTGTTTTTTAGAAAGAGATTTTGAGTTTAAATTAGTTTGCTACCTCGATAAAATAGAAGCGTAAACGTTAAAGACAAGAGTGCCTTTTGTTACTAGTGTGGAAAGTGGCCATTTCTAGACTTGGATGACAAAAGTTTAAAGAACAACATCAGTTATATTTGCTTAAAAAAGTAATCTTCAAAGTTATTCTTCTTTCTGTTTTGGCATTTTTGCTAAAACACTACTTTCTGCCTGTGCGTGTGCGTCGCACTATCTTGCTGCCGTTGTCAGGGAAACGGCCCCCTCCTTTGCTGCTCTGGCTCTGAATCAGAGCAAAGCTACTGCTTTTAGGATTTAGGCTTTTATTAAGTTTTTAAATTTGCGAAATTTGACATTTGAACATTGTGTTATGACACAGTTAAACGTTTTTAAACACCATTTAGGGAATAGAAGTTTTGAATTATGTTTTTTGAAACCCAAATATAAGTGCTAAAGCTGTGCAATTGTTTTTAGACCTAACATATTTCTAGATTCCATTCTTTTAAATCTGCTGCTTATTTCTTAACTTTTTGTGAGTTGTGTTTGTTTTTTATGTTTTTATTTTAGTTACAAAAGCCGTTTTTCAAACATTTAAATTAGAATCTGTGTTAAAAGTGATTATTGATTATAGACTTCGTCTAAAAAGAAAGAGGGAATTAGGAATTAGCTGTAAAAGTATTATTTAAGTTAAACTACCCAATTCACATGCAAGTGGCGACTTTTTGTTTTTGTTTTGACTACACGCCTGACCTTACTGCTGCTGATGCCACAGCAGAGGAGACTGGCTCTAAAATGTGCAAGATAATTAAACACACAGTACAAAAGTACACATATTTTAAAGTTTAAAGGTTTTTAAGAGATTTGAGTCTTGTTTTTTATTAAGAGAGTTTCTGGTGTTAAAAATGTCATCATTAGTAAGATAATAAGTAATCTTTTATTTACATAGCGCATGTGGGAAAACCCAGAGCGCTCCAAAATTGTTTTGACTTTAGGGAGAAAAACAATCTCATTCGCATACTGATATCTATTGTTTTTTTAAATTGGCCGTCTCAAGGATTGTTTTTCAGACTCTGCCTCACTGTACGAGAGGTCACTGCTGGACACTGGACACCAAAGCCCACCCAGCCACAGGTCACAGATCAAAGAGCAAAGGAAAATGCCACCTCCTTGCCCCTCCCCACGCCACTGCAGAGCTGAGTGGGTGTGAGAGAGACCGGGGCCATGAAAGAGAGGTATCTGGAGACGTGATGGGTGGAGCGTCAGGGAGAGACCTAGACGGAGTTGAAAGTGTGTCTACGTGGTTTGCATCACCACAGTGTGACCTTTGACACCTACAGGTGGTTCGAGGAGTCTGGAGACACAACCCCAAAATTCACACCCTACATACACACACACATACACACATAC